AAACACACAACCCCACACACAGACACACACAGACACAAACACACAACCCCACACACAGACACACACAGACACAAACACACAACCCCACACACAGACACACACAGACACAAACACACAACCCCACACACAGACACAGACACACAGACACAGGCACACACACACACACACACACTCACACATAGACACAGACAGACACAGACAGACACAGACACAGACAGACACAAACACACACACACACACACACACACTCACACACACACACATAGACACACAGACACAGACACACACAGACACAGACAGACACAAACACACACTCACACACACACACAGAGACACACACATATTCCTGCTCTTCCTCTAAGGCTTATTTCACATAAAACACATAATTAGTAAAGCCAAATTTCGGCCAGTGTGACAGACAGCACGCAGCCCTTGTGCACACAGGCTGTCTTAGTGCGTAACCTCAGTGTGCAAACACGTCTGCATGCCCAGCGTGTAGCGCCAGGGGTAGAAGTGTGTAGCGGCACCTCGCCCCGCCCACACTGACACGCCGACACGCTGTCCTGCAGGTGTCCTACGCCCGGCCGAGCTCTGCCTCCATCCGAGATGCCAACCTATACGTCAGTGGTCTTCCGAAGACCATGAGTCAGAAAGACATGGAGCAGCTGTTTTCCCAGTACGGCCGCATCATCACCTCCCGCATCCTGGTGGACCAGGTCACAGGTACAGCCTTATCTCACTCCCTGACGACGGCTGTTCCGCCCCCCCCCCCCCCCCCCCCCCAACCCCCCCCCCCCCCCCCCCCCCCCGCCCCCCCCCCCCCCCCAACCGCACCCAGTCTCACCCTTCTTCGCCAATCAGCGATGACACTCCTGTTCCTCCAGGGACAATGACTGTGCCAGTTGACTGTATATTGGATGCTGGACACTCTAACCTTGACCCCTGACCTTTGACCCTGAGCACCGTGGAAGGGCAGTTCCATTGCTCAAAGCTGACAATCTGTGCTGGTCGATATGCTACGTCACCTCTTAGTCATGCTATTGACTCTGCCAGTCTTTAAAAGCCACAGTTCTCAAGGGCTTTCTGAGGAGCGGATCTGAAATCTGGTCTAACCCCTGGTCTTGGGTATTAACATGAGTCTGCTTTGTGTCCCGGAGCAGGTGTATCACGGGGAGTGGGTTTCATCCGGTTCGACAAGAGAAACGAGGCAGAAGAAGCCATCAAAGGCCTGAACGGGCAGAAGCCCCTGGGTGCAGCTGAGCCCATCACCGTGAAGTTCGCCAACAACCCCAGCCAGAAGACGGGACAGGCGCTGCTCACCCAGCTGTACCAGACGGCAGCCCGTCGCTACACTGGCCCGCTGCACCACCAGACCCAACGCTTCAGGTACTACTTCACCCGGACTCCCCACACCTTCATCAAGTCACCTGACAGCACCAATCTTCCGACACACCGCACCAGACTCCCAGAACTTCACCTAGCAGCACCTTAGTCTAGTTCTCTTCCACCTCTCCAAATCTCCCAACATCACTTTGATGTCCCAATGACCTCTTTTATCCTCCCCAGACCCCACCCCAAACCCCCACCTCCCTCTCCCTCACACCTTCTCTGCAGTTCTCTGGCTTTAATTATAGAAAAAAAGCCCAGTTTCACAGAATAAGAATCAAAAAGCTGGATAATAAGCTGATCACTCTGTACCGATAATTTGCACACACACGCACACACGCACAGTCACACTCGTGCTTCCACCCAGAGTCATGCCGTCTAACACCAGCCAACTCTTTGTACCCTCTTCCCTTTCTGCAATGAGTAGTGCCCCCTGGAGGCTGACAGACGGAAGAGCTGCATGCGAAACGAGAGCCCTGTTCTCCGACCTCTCGGGTCTCTTTACTAACGTGTCCACCCCCCTCAACTCTCCCCTCTTGCGTTGCAGACTCGACAATTTACTAAACGCCAGCTACGGAGTGAAGAGGTAAAGTCCAATAAACAAATAAACAAAAATAAAGGTTCACGTCCAAAACAAACAAAACAAAAGAACAAAAAAACAAAAGCATCCATGTCAAAGAGCAAACAAAGCGGCTGGAATTCCACCTGCTGGCGTAGGACTAAGTCGCTAAGTTGCTAAGCTCTCTGCCGAGCGTAGCCACCCGGCGCTGCGAGCTTCGCTAACCCTGACAGGCTGACGGCAGCCCGGTCGCCGGTACGACCCACGCAGGCAGAAGCTGGTCGCAGCAGGAAATTCTGGCCTGGCTTTGTTGGACCTTTCAATTCCTTTTAATTTCCTTACCTGCACTAACTTTTGTTTGGCACCGCGTTGGACTAACGTTTGTTTTCCGTTGTTTTGGTTTCCCCTTCCTTTTTTCCACCAGCATGGACATACCCAGATTCAGTTGTGCGTCTCTTTTCGATTGGCCACAGTTTTTTGCATTAATTTCTGTCTGGCTTTCCTTGGTTCCTCTTCTAGGGTTCTGTGTTTTGTTGGATAGATCGTGTTATCAGCAGACGCCTTTGGGACAGCAATGGAGTATTTTCTGTATTTCTTAGTGTCTGTCTTGTTCAGGGACTCCAGGTCCCTCATTGTGTGTGAGTGGTCGGGATTCTGTGTTGTTGACACTCACATGTATGTCCACTGCCGATGGGCGACACACGGCCCCCCACACGGCCTTACGGCAAAACAAGGGATGAATAACGGACGCTAATTAATGCAGAGAACGATATAACACGTCTCAGACTCTCGCAAGCACATAGACGCACACGCACGCAAACGGCGCGTACACCCACATGGATCCACACCGACTGTCAAGCAAGCACACACAAACACAGATTCACACCGACTATTAATTGCGCACACACGCATACACCTGCAGAAAATGATGGTAACACACACACACAGCATTCACTCTAATCGTGCATTCATGAACAGTCTACCATCACACTTAACGTTTTTGCCAATCATGCTCACACACACACACACACACACACACACACACAGACAGACCCTGACTTGGATAGAGAGCTGGCTGTCACAGACACTCACTTATTCACACTACATTCAGTCACATTTGCACAGACTACGTTGCGCGCACACACCCACTCACCCAATCACACGCGCGCGCACGCACACACACACACACACACAAACACACACACACACACACACACACACGCTCCCTCCCACGCCGGGGGTGGCCACTGTGCTCCATGCTCTGTAGGACTTCAGAGTGACACCCATGGTAGCTCTCCTTCTCTCCTGCCCAGGTTCTCCCCCATCACCATCGACAGCATGACCAGCCTGGCTGGGGTCAATCTGACCGGGCCGACGGGGGCTGGCTGGTGCATCTTCGTCTATAACCTGTCACCCGAGGCCGACGAGAGCGTCCTGTGGCAGCTGTTCGGCCCGTTCGGCGCTGTCACCAACGTTAAGGTCATCCGCGACTTCACCACCAACAAGTGCAAAGGCTTTGGGTTTGTCACCATGACCAACTACGATGAGGCGGCCATGGCCATCGCCAGCCTCAATGGCTACCGACTGGGCGACCGCGTCCTGCAAGTCTCCTTCAAGACCAGCAAGCAGCACAAGGCCTGAGGCGTGGGCAGGAGACGCCCTGTCGCATCGGCTGGTTCAGCCTGCAGGGGGAGCTCACGAGCTTCCCGAACACTCACGAAACCATGGACCGGGAGTGAGTCTCTCGCTCTCTCTCTCTTTCTCATACACGCTCACAAAACACAAACACACGCAGGACGTACACAAGTGTCCAACCCACACTCACGGATCAAAGGGGCACACTTTGACATGCGGACACACTCACACGGACTGATGACGTTTAGTGTTTTTCCTATCCACGCAATCACGACAGTTCTTCCCCTCGCTTGCCTGTGCTGAATTACCCAGAATGGTGGAGGTGGAGGGAGGGAGGGGGGGGGGAGGTGGAAGACCGGGCAAGCTGACACGGCGGGGGCGGAATGTACTGAGGCTTTAATTCAACACAGGCAAAGAGTAAGTACCACGAATGAAAAAAAAAACAGTCAAAAGTTAAGCATGAATTATAAATATGTGCGACTCACCCTAACCGGAACCAAGAAAATGGAACCACAGCCCTCCACCTTGTGTTCTGCTTGTGTCTAACAAAGACAGATAGAACAGCGAGAAATCACTTTTTTACGTGTGGGCATTTCAATCAAGGATTTTTTTAAATTAAAAAAAAGTAAAAAAAAAAAAAAAAAAACAGTGTTCGCTTATATATAATATAAATATATAAATATTTATTCAATATTTAAGGTCATTATAATAGCCAAGTATGTAAGCAGTTTTTTAGGGAGAACTTTGTCTACTATTCGTGAGCTCTTTCATCTAGGTGCAACCTGACTGTACTGCAGGCTGTCCCCAGGCCATTCAGTGTCTCACACACAAGCACACACGGACATACACACACGAGCAGGCACCCCCGCACACATGCATGCGTACGCACGCAGGCGCGCACTGCCTGACTGTACTCCTACCCACGGAAGAGGAATCACGCGACTCGCGCGCGCGTGCCGCGAGGATCGAAAGCCGCCGACAGAGGGAGCCTTTCGCTCACGCGAAAAGGCGAACGCACGTTTGCACGCGCACACTTGTAAACCCGCGCACCACGAGGAACGAACAACCAAAAGAGATGTCGCAAAGTAGGCCGAGTTCCGGTAAGCCCAATAAAACCCAGAGGACACACTAGTAAAGAGACTCACTGACGCGCACGCACTCAAATGTCCTCTATCGAGGATGCAAAAAGGAAATCATTGACTCACAGGAGAACCTCTCTGTATTTTTCAGCTTGATTTTTTCTACTTAGCGACTTAGATTAGGTTCTACCTAAAGTGGCTGTCTTCTGACTTTGGACATGGCGACAGTGTTTCCATGGTTACAGTGTTTGCATAGAAGCCTCTGGCAGGTCTGTGGCGAGTTTAACAAGAACATACAGCAGCCGTAGCAGAACAAACAAACGCTTTGGGCGAGGTTTCGTTATTTTTTCCTCTTACCGATTGTAACCCAGAAGAGCAATATGACGTGTTACCTGGAGTGCTTTATCCACGGCTCTCCTCTTCTGTTCCTCAAAGCCCCGCCCATTGTAGTAGCTCCTCCCATTCACACAATCCCCTCCCATTCCCCAGGTACCCTCCTGTTCTACTAAATGCCCCAGGACACCTGCCTAAGTACCCTCCATGAGATGCAGGTTTCTAGTGGGCACCTACTGGCACGCAGCATCGACTCAACCTTACTGTACTGTACAGATGCGCCTTTTATGGTACGACGGCGAAAAACAACTCACTTGACGGAAAAAGCCGCAGTGTTTACTTCGCACTGTGTCGGCTGGACGAGTAAATGTTTCCCGGAATAGAGTCAATGAACACAATCTTCACCGTATTTATATCCAAACTCTCTAGACCTAGTCTTAATCCCACTCCACCTTTACCCCCATTAAAATTATATCCCAGTATTTAAAAAAGACATTTGTCTCCTGAGCATTATAAACAAGACAAATGCTAAATTTGGATATCCTTAAAACATAAACAATAATTATAATAGATTTCATATGCCAGTGTGACCATCTGCCAAAATTCCGACTCATTCTGAAAAAAAAAATCTGAATTTCAACAGAAATATTATCTTCCATGTTTAGGGTGAGACGGACTTTGGCAGAGAATAACAAAAATAGATGAAACAATAAGACATCTTAAATATTGGCAAAAAAGACTTAAATAAAAGGTGAACTGTGTTAAAATTACTTTTCTAGATAATGCTTACTTAGCCAAAGAGGACAGTAGTCTCTTTGATGTGAGAGGATTCAGAAGGAAACAAATCTATTTTTATACTTAAAGGAAAAAAAGACCTTGATCAGAATTTGTACTGATTCTTGAGCTTAAAATATTTTCACAGACATATATAGTTTAATTTTCATATTTTTCATTTAGGGAAGTCTGTGTGTGTTGGGGAGGGTGGGGGTAGGGATTCAATGGGGCGAGTTGATGTTGTGTCTTGCGCAAATTCTAGATTGTTCACCTCAAAATTTAGATGGCTGTGAAGATACATATCATGGTCAGTGTGCATAAAGACTCAGAATACTTCAGGAACCTATCTAAGGTGTCTTACCTTAAATTCTTTTTTTTGAGTACAAGAAATTGGAAATCGGTTTAATGGACTAATGAAAAAAATACAGCTACGGTTTTCCATATCCTAAATATGTTTTAAAGCATCCCGGAAATGATGCAAATACAATCAGCGTGACGTCAAAACCACAAAAAAAGCTTTGAGTGCTCCTAAAGCCTCGAAACATTTGGCTTTTAGAACGATAAACCTTGTGAATAGGGAAGGGTGGGCGATTTGATTTGGTGGGGGTTTTCAAAGTGATCTTCCCTCCCATTTCAATTGCTTCTAACTCTCGAAATCTTTATGCATACTGCTCTGTAGCTCTACGTATACTGAAGAATATAAATATCACTATTTCTGAACATTCGTCATTTAACTCACATTTACGTTAGTTTTATATTTCCAAGATGATTTCGCAGAGTGACAGCACGACTTCCATGCAAACAGGGCTCACGAGCAGGAATGCATATTATAAAGTAAGACAGCTGCTTGCATCTTCGCAGAGACTGATTTTGTTTTTTAAAACAGCGGCAATTACACAGCAAACACATGCACACACATATACACGCAGGCGTGCACATGCGCAGATCACCATTCAAACACTTGAAGGTTGTTTAAATTACACACCGGGCCAGGGCACGCCCACATGCAAAACACAGGACTGCACATACATGTAGACACAAAGGATGACACATAGCCTACTAAACGGTGCACACACAGCACCGAGGACAATGATATGAGACACAGGTACGCACCGCATGAGCTCGTTATAATCCATTTCAAAAGGAAAAAAAAACTTTCTTATGGAACAGCAAGTGCAATGTGCTTTGTTTTTATATTGACTGAGAACATAATATATATTTTTTAAAAAAGAAATTAAACGTCACACTGAAATCGTTTGCAAAAAAGTGAAAGGATCAAATGTAAAAAAACTAAAAAACAAATGTGTAAATGTCGACTCATTACAAAAAAAAAACACAAAAAAAAACCAAACAAGCACTCTAAACTCTGATCTCTGGAAATATACAACACTCCTTCCGTTGGCCCGTTGATTTTCGTTCTGACTGCGTTACTAACACAAATAGGCTAGTTGGCTTCAGAATCCAAATTTTTTGAAAGAGCAACAATGAAATTCTATGGAAAAAATCTGAGGTGATTAGGTTTCCACCAGTATCAATATTAGAATATAACTCCTTTTATTTAATTTATTGGTTTGTTTTACATATCAGATTCACGCGTTGATTAAGCGTTTTTGTGTCATTGAGATTAACATAGAAGACGCACGTGGGTTGAAGACTCAACTCAGTTGCTTTTTATTGGGCACAAATTTTCAATAATTTTTGTCTCTTTATTTAAAAATAATTAGTTGCAGTTCTTAGTGTTTGCAGATTTTAGAGTTAGACTTTTATTTCAATCAAAATGTGTTCGATTGTGTTTGTAAAAGTCTGTGGTAGTTTTTGTTGCAACAAAAAAATTAAACGTGAAAATATAAGATAGCGCCAACAAACTTGTACTATTTGGGCGACTTTAAACTTGTAGATTTAACTTATTGTTAACTTAAAACTATTTATTACTATTATTGCCTCGTATAAAAGTATGTTTTGTGTATATTTATGCTTTATTTCATTATATTTGCTAGTTTAAATGAGTTCTCAATTTTGCTGAAATGTGGCTATACCATATTTTTCTTTTATAAACGGGAATGAAAAAAAACATTCAGAAATATAACTGCGAAAAGTTATCCGTAGGCAGAGTGCACTGGTAAGGAAAATAAATTGGTGTGTAGACAACAAAAATGGCTTGCTTGATGTTATGTTTATTGCCTGTGTTCTGTTTGTCTTGTTACAAAAAAAAAGAAAAAAAAACCTTTGATTTTTCTCATCTTTCATGTTGTATGGAATATCGATTCTGTCCAATCTTGCAACCACTTTATGAACCCCAAAAGCGGTGGTTAAATTCTGGGTCGGGACCACCTGTCTGGACTTGTGTTTTCGGGAGTAGTGCTGCGCTCCTGCCGGAGAATTAAAAACCTCTGAGATAACGGAGAGGAGAGGAAGGAGAAGGATGGCTGTGGCCGGTAGGGGTCAGTGGTGTGTCTTTCTCACAACAATGCGCTTTCTATTTATTTGGGGAAAGAGCGAGTTTCTTTGCCATCTCTCTTATTTATTTATATATAGTTTTTCGGGGATAGTAACAAAACAAGGGAAAAACTACCAATCCAGATGGAATAAAATGTCAGAAGAACAAAGCTAAATTCAACAGAAAAATTTGAACAAGATAAAGAATGATTCAAATAAATGTGACACCGGGGTAAAATAAAAAAAAAACACCTTTTGATTTAGCTTAGGTTATCTATTACTGGGTATCATCTGAAGACGCTTGAAAACTTTTCATGGAATTGTTTGATTATTTGTACTTTTCTTGCGAGAAAAAAAAAATAAAAGTTACAAATCTTACTGGTCCCACAGGCTTCTGTTTTGTGTACTGGACGGAATACACACCAGACCTAGATGATCGCAGACCACACAGCACAGCCTACATAAATCACTGCAGACAGGACACTGACTTCGACCAATCAAAATGCAACACTGCAGATTGGATGGAAGCAGAACTGCCCTACTCTTAAGACCACTGACAGTGACGGATGAACACAAAGCACACCGCTGACAGTAAAGGATCATCAGAGTGAATTACCGTTCACATGGTGCAGCAAACAGGCCCAGTAGTGACAGCAAACACTAATAACCTTATGCAGTTCATTGCCTTTTATTATATATTTCAACATAAAAGATGCATTTGTAAATTCACCCCACGTTTATACTCAGGAAGTCAGTTTAGTTGAACGGTATAAATTTACTGGAGCTCTTCAGAACAACTCCATGCAGGAGGTAAGCAGAGCAGGGCCCCTTTTAGGCTGTGAACAAGCAACCTTCAGGCTAACCTACCATGCTGTGGGCAAAGCAGGTGCAACACAGTGTCAGAAATAAGGAATCAAAAAGGGACACAATGTGACACAGGACACTTAGTTTATTAGCAAGACATCTGGTTGTCTTTTTTTTTGGGGGGGGGGGGTATTTCACAGCAGTATCTTGATGGGCAAGGAAAGGACCCGTCAGCTCAAAACCAGTGAGAACAGTGCAGACCCAGCAGTGAGGATTTTCTTCTGAGGTCCAAATGAAATAAGTGCTAATCAAGAAGAGGGGTACCAGGAAGTCTTGGGAAAGGAGGGTAGTGATCTGGTCCCAGAGACCTGGGGGCTGACAAAAGACAGAGGCTTTTTTTTTTTTTTTTGCACAGTATCAGCACACAGTTTGTGATGCTGGCGGTGAGTGTTTGTGCGTGTGCGCGCGCATGAGCTCACCTCAGGAGCAGTTCTAGAACTCGTCATGGGGATCGGTCTCCGGGGCGACCGTCTCCAGGCTGGGAGGCTCCTGGCAAATGGCTGGAGTGGAGAACTCCATCAGGTACTCACAGCGGCTGGGTTCTGAGGTGGACAGCACCGCCGTCTCCTTCCCGCACGTGAGCTTCACCTGAGACATGGATGCAAAAACTCATGGAGGAGCTCCCTATCCAATAATGCTTCCCGAATTTTACTAGAATTCTTCAAAAGCACTTGTCGAATGCATTATAAATGTCCGTAGGAAGGACTCCCGCAGAGGCATGTGATCGCTTATATTCGTTCATCTGTGGAAATACTGGGTTCACTGCTTCCTTCCACTCCTTTCACCGTAATGCCCATTGGGTCAGAGTCCATCCAAACTCATTGGTGTGAGACTAACCGTGGTGGACCTGTTCGGTCCCTGCCAGCAGCCCGTCCCATGGTCATACTTCATGATGGAGTATTTGCTGCCCTCTGGTCCGTTCCAGGAGCCCCACGACCTACAGAAGGCAAGAGATCCAAAGCCGTGAAATAAACCCAAAACGTACGATCGGCAACAACAAAACTAAAAACCCTGCAGCAAATCGGATCACAGCGCAGATGCTTGATCTGCTCCCCAGACCCTCACCCCAAGTTGGTTTCCGATCCACCATATTTAGGCTTCTGGGACACGCGGTTGAAGGGACACAACCTGTAAATGTATCTGAAGACCAGAAAACATGGAGTGAACTTGGGATCAATTGCACACACACACACACACACACACACACACACACACACACACACGGAGTATAGGGACGTACTCATTGGTGGTCAGCTCATAGCACTGGCTGTAGAGGTAGGCAAACTCTGCACTGGGGCCGAAGTCAAACGAGATCTCCTTCTCGAGGCTCCTGAAGCAGAAACACCAACAAGATGATGTCACGGAGCTGCACGGGCACCATCCAATGAGGCCCAGCTGTTGATCACCGAGCTTCCCCCACCACCCCTGCCCCAAGAGCCTCCACCCTGGGGCTGTCAAAGGTGTGAGAGAGGAGAAACCGAGGAGTTGGAGCTGGAGGGAGGGTACAGTCGAGTTTGTCTTTCTGGGTGGGCGGGGGAGGGGAAGCCAGACGACTCACTTGATCTGATCGTCAACTTCACGGAGGGATTTCTCTGCTGAATCAAACTCATCCCGCGCTTTCTGAGCAGCTGTACGAAAAGAAAAAAAAAAAACACACTTTGAACAACACGCATGCATACACATGCACCTGCAAACGCGCAGTAGAGCGCACCCGGGACCACCCACCATCGATCAGCGCCTGCGTTTCCTCGTCATACGACGGCATGGCCCCATCACTGTCATCGCTGTGTTCTGCTGGCGGACCAGCAGGGGGCGCCTGTCAGTAAAACGCCTCATTGTCAGAGACCAGAGCTCAGGCAAGGAAGAGCAGGTCGCACACATTGGCCTGCAGCGATGACACGTCACCTTGTCGTCGTACTCCTCAGGAACGTCGTCATCATCGTCCTCCTCCTCGTCATCCTCTTCATCCCCAGCGTCATCCTCGGGATAGGCTTGGTCCGCATCTTTGTCGGAATCCTTGCTGGAATCCTTGTCCTGGTCCACCTCGGAGTCCTGGGGCTCTTGTGGTGGAGGAGGGGCCGGCTGGGACTGAGGACACCACACACAGTGAACACTAACTTCTAGCCAGAAGTCGGTTTCACCACTTTTAAGTAAAAGGCAAGAAGGACCCCTGACCTCGGAAACATATTTGTCCTTGATGTTACTCCAGACGTTCTGGAATCCAGCAGAGTCCACCTTGTCAGCTCCACTCAGCAGCCCCTGTTTTTTTTTTTAAAAAAAAAAAACCTCCCAAATTCCATTACCATGCTACTGGTCGTTCGCAGTAACAGCAGGCAGCAATCACGGAGGACTACAACTCCCAGAATCACCTACTTCAAAACACACCCGTGATTAATGCTGCGTTCCATTTACCTCAGATGTCGAAAGTCGGGGCTGGGAATGACGTACTGGAACATGGTCAACTTGCATGTGACAAGTCGGAAAGCCATTTAGCAATACCAGCTCATTGTTAGCAATACCAGTTGATAACAGCACATTACAGTGCATTTTGCACATACAAACACCACAGCAACATGTCCTCAGATAGCAGCTGGACAGTACTGTGTGCGACTGATTTAATGGAACACAAATAACACGGAATTGCTGATAAACAGTATATAAGTACAGCTTTCACTTCTGTGGATGCAGCCATCTTGAATTCCGACTTCGGAGTTCAAATGGAACGCAGCATAAATCAGTGCATGAACGGAGTGCAGGAATCGGGGGGCACCTGAGCTTCCGTGTCGGTCAAGGCGCCATCACCATCAGGGTCCAGCTCTTGGTGGGTCTGTAGCTCTGACACGGACACCCTGGGGGTCACAGGGCACCAGGTTACACATAGCGGGAGACCCAACACCAGCATCACACCCCCCCCATGGTAAACCCAAGACTCACAGGCCATCTGCATCACCATCCAGCTCCAGGAACACCTCAGCCATCTTGGCCTTCTCCTTCTCCAGCTGGAGAGCTGCCTTTTGCGCTAAAACATTGGCAGAAATAAATGCATGTACGTCGTTATAAGGACCATACGCGGCTTAAATCCTAGGGGAAAGGGGAGCCATAATTAAACGATTTTTTTGATAATTAAACTATTTTAGGTGTTACTAATTAAGTATTACATGAGTCTAGCACATTATTAATGAGCTGGTAGAATACCTTGGAGACCATGATTTTGATGCAGCCCCAGTCATTTTGCAGCCTGTGCTTACCCTCCCATGCCTTCAGGTGGCGCTCTTTCGCCTCTCTCTCCGGCTGCTCTGCGGTCTCCTTCACAGTCCGGAGTGCGTCCACCTTTTCCTCATGCTCCTTCCTGCTGGCCTGCAGCTCGGACAGCTTGCCCTGCGGGGAGCCCACCGCAGAGCCGTGAGGGCGGGCGGGGGGGTTTCATCCGTCTCATGTATTTTCAAGTGCATGAGAAAAGGTGTAGCTTTGTGGCAAAGGGTGGTTAACAGGGCGACTGTTAAGGAATCGGAATAATATAATTCAGAATAACTTTTTATTTAAAATAAATAAACTATAAGCGTTGTAAATATATATCCAGCCTCTCACACAAGCCTTTGCGGGACTGACTCCAGGTCCCTGCACGACCCTGACCAGGATCAGTGGTTGTTAGATATATGGACAGAGAAACTACATTAATTGAGATTTACTATAATTTTAACTAATTTCCCAGCTAAATAATAATAATTGTTTTGGAGCTGAGGCAGCTCATGGCCTTGGCATCACCTGCTTCTCCTGCAGGCCCTGCTTTGCCTCCTCGATCAGCTGCCGCTTCAGCAGGAAGCCCTCCCTCGTGATCTCCGCCATCTTCTCCAGGGTCTCCCTCTCCTTTTGGCCCAGCTCCCTGTTCGGCAGACGTGCCCTTGTTAGGAATGTCCCCCCGGCCTACAACAGGAAGGCGGGGCGTGGTGGCCCGGTGGGGTAGGGCGGGACTCACCTGCAGGTGTTCTGACAGGAGACCCCGCTGTTGTACTCGTCGGTCGTGTCACAGCAGTCTGATGCATAAGGACATCAGAAGTAGACTTTACAAAAGCAGAGCTATTTGGGAGTCACTGGGCGCCCGGATCACAACGTGGCCTAGCTTACCGCAGACACCGTCGTTGATCCGCGACGAAGGGATGAAGGTGGCCCGGAAGCCGGCGTTGGTGCAGTGGAAGCTGCCGTTGGGGCAGGCTGCCGTGCCTGGTGGACAGAATCATTTTTTAAATCATTTGTTAAATTGTTATTCAACGCTCAGCGTGTCCCATTTTATAAACATACGAGCCGGTTCATTCGCCTCATATTGTATCACGCAGTCAATTTTACTTTTTATTTCAGGTTTCACAGCAAGTGCAATTCTATTACACAGACAGTAGGTGGTGCAGTAGTTGGAATTCAAATGTTTACATCTAAAAAAACAGCCACCCACAGAATGATACAGGATGCATGTACACTGATATCAGTCTGTTGCGGACTACATGACTGTTCTGGGTACAGATCACCATCTGGAGTGCTGCTGAGCCGACGCGAGTGTGGAGTTCCACGCTACACGAGGTACCTGGTTCATCGGAGCCGTCCTTGCAGTCGCAGTAGTCGTCATTGACGCGGTCGAAGGGAATGGTACGGGACCCGTCCAGGCAAGTGAAGGGCCGGCTCTCATCATAAAAGTGTCGCTCTGTTCAAGGTCAGGGAGCAACTGACACAGTGAGTTATGGGGGGGCTGAGGGGGGTCATGTGGCTGATTTATAAGATTTAATAATGAGGTCAGCACCTAATGTTGGCCACCTGAGGACAAAAGCTCAAGCATCTGTGTCAGTAGCTGACATTCCACGTGAGAAATCTTACGGAAAATCTATATTATTCCATTATAAACCTAAAATTAGCTACACAAAAAGTACGTGTGTAGTTGGCAAACCCTACGGACTAAAAGGCAATAAACCTGTTACATACATGTAAAGGCGTGTGCATGTGTGTGCACACTTGTCTCGAATTGAAAATCTCAGTCCAGCTTGCTGACCAAAGCTGGCAACCCTGCAGCAGTAACGTTCATATAAAAATAAAATTAGGTTGTGCGTTAACTGGTAGCCACGTACTCTCCAGCGGGACTCCTCGAGGCCGCTGCACCTCCACCGCAGCCCCCAAGGCAGCGCCCAGGCTCACGATCAGAAACACTTGTAGCCGGAACATCATACGGTCCGTCTGCAAACCCTGTTAGCAGGAAGGATGCGGCAGAAGTCATTTTAACATGATATAACGGAAAGACCAAAAATAAATGTAGCTAAATGAAATTTCTATGAGATCATGCCTAAGCTGAATGTGGGTTTTCATACTGGAAAATGCACCTAAGCTAAAGATATATTACCCATTTAAACTGGAAACCGACCTCCCCGTGCTGTAGCTTCCCTAGGACCGGAAACACTTCACTCACCTGGGTTAACACCTACAGTGCCTGATTTTATTCGAACTGCATATATTTTGTATAAAATCGTGAGTATACACCGTATTTCTCTGTGATATACGGACAATTTCGCTAGTATTTTCAGATGGATGGTGCTGTAAGCAGCATTAAGATAACGCCACCGTTAGAAGACCATTATCTAAATGGAAATATACTGCACTGAGAAAAACTAAATTCAGCTTTGTTCGCGTGTTTTTTCACGTTTACATTTAGACGCATCTCTTCGGAACACAGGAAGAAAGCGCACTTTCCCAGACATCGGGCGTTTTATCAAAGCGTGAAGCCAGATTCAGAGGATATGTGAGATATCAATTAAATATAATATAAACGCTAACGTCATGCAGTCTCGTAAACGTGCCGAAATATTTTATTACCTTATTCTTCGAGCCGTCAGATTAGAAAAACCCGTCCAACGTAGCGCATAAGTGTGTTCTCACCTGATTGGAGGAAAAAGGGAAACACGTGCGTCGCAAGCGGAAGTTCCTTGTGCATTATGGGATTTGTAATTTTTGTACTTTTGGGTTAGTGAGCGTGTACCGGGTTGTACAGTCCAAGGTCAAGGGTTTTTGTTACTTCTCGCCTTTAAGCCTCATTATAACTATGTTATCTATCTATCTATCTATCTATCGATATATTCTGAAACATTGATTATGGAGAGAGTCGTTGGGAAGGGCCCAACCTGTTTTTGTTATGTATAGTTATAAAGTCATAAAATATAGCCTGTCGGTCAGCTGCGGCTCTCTTCATGTGAATGAAAGGAAAACGCATCGCCGCATCCCTGTTCGATTTTCGTCCTACATACGAAATCGGCATTCACCTATTCATATAGTTTATTTAACACTGATTCCTTTATAATGTAATTATTATCGGAAGCCAGAGCGACCGAAAAAAAATGCTGAACAGTTTTATTTCTACGTTTGATTAAAATTTTATTCCTAAAACCCTTTAGGCGCTTCTTCGACGGTTTTCCTGAGCGAGATGAAGACGAAATCCACTTTACCCGAACTCATTTTACCTAACACATCAAAATGCATATCAGTTGCCCTTGCCGTTAAATAAATTAAATAATGAATAAATACGAAAAATAACAGACTTGGCCGCATGGCGGGGTAGTTTGTGGGGATGGCTTTGTGCTCAGCGGACGCACAAGCGCTATCCTGTACATGCTGCAGATGAAAAAACACTGATGTTAAATTTAATCTTGAAAGGAAAATACAAAACCAGGAATCGTATGCACACACTGTGCGAACAGCAGCTGCTGCATAAATGTCTTCATGCCTTTTATTTTACCATTTTATTATAAAAATCATCCTTTATTTGTAGTTTTGACACACTTTACAGTACCGTACAGTGAAATCAAAGAAAAAATATACAGATATATCATTATTTCATATAGATATTAGCTTATTAGATGCATTTTATTCACAAAATGACACCTCAGTTCTCTCAAAAGAAAACCAAAATATTGTCATAAAAATAGAATAATAAAAAATAACAGGAACACATTTTACACATTAAAGCAGTATAATTTACAGATATTACAATCATCTTTAGGCTTTTTTGTAATTTTTTAAAGTCGTGAACAAGTAACACATGAGCAAAAGCTCAAATTCGACAAGTAGACCACAATTATGGAGGAACTCTGAAGTTAAGATCATGTGGGAACGCTAGAGTAAAACAATTATTTAAAAAAAGATGGCTAAGACGCGGTCCTCCGGGAGCACGGAGCTGGGGAGGCGTGTCACCGCGAGACACACGAGGGGTGTGTACTGCGCAGGACACGACGGACCTCCGCCCCCGACCACTCCCAAACCTACCTTTCCCGTCCTTCGTGGCCCCGCCCTTGCGCAAGCTCCACCCACGCACCTACCTTTTCCATCCTTCGCCCCACCCACTTACTGCCATCACTCCAAACTCCTCCCACCTTCCACCCCCGACCTGCAGAGGATAAAGTGCTGATACAGAGAAAGTGTTTTGTGACTCCATCATCTTTGTTTTTTAAGTTTTTTCTTTGTTTTTTTACAAATTAAAAATACTCTGTTAAAGATCAGGAAAGAGGGACAAGGACAGAGAGAATGAGGGTTCAGATGTCAATAATTAATCCCCATCTTATCACCAGACTGAAGAAAAAGACTGAATCTATAGTTATAGATGTTCACTGAAGTTATAGAGTTATTCATTTACAATCTATTACAATATATACAAACAAGCAGTAATAAGGATACTATTCATATCAACCATAATAATTGAATAACTTCCATACCATTAAACCAAATAATACAAAAATAAAAAAGTACACAAACTGTCCAAATAAAAGTATTGTGGCATTTAACATGTCTTCTTTTCATAATTTAAAAAGAACATCAATAACTAATTAATTAATCAATCAATTAATTAATTATCGATATGTAAGAAACAATTGCTACAGTATTGTGTTAAATGGCAATTTGTATATTCGTTTGTTTTTATAGCTCACAAGATAAACAGAAAAAGCCACAAAAGCACATAGCGACATTCCATAGAACGACAGGTGGGTACACATGGGATTGATCACCATTCTGCCAATCACAGGCCAGTGGTGACCTCGGGGTCCCGCCTCACCAATCACAGAGCCAGCGGTGACTCAGGCGTCCCATTCCACCAATCACAGACCTGCTCAGATAAGCTGAGCCACTGACCAGCTGAAAACAGATGGTCCATGATGTTATTTTCTCTACACACAGACGCGCGCACACACATGCACACCAAACACACACATCTACGAGATCGGCCTGACCTGCGATACACAGCCATGGAATCGAACTGATGGGAGTGAAACTACACATTCCAACAGGAAATTTAGTCTCTAATGATTTATATTAATAATCTAAGCATCATCTACGTGACAAGCCAGAGAGGCTAACTCGTGCGGCAGTGATAGACAGAACTACTGATATTTGACAGACTAACATTTGCCAGACATTTTCGCCATCCTTATTCATCAATAAATATAAGATCCCCCCCTCCACCGCTGTACCTGGGGGTCATTAGAATGCAACAGGCTAACAGTCTCATGACATCGCTGCAGCATCTTGGCACAGCATCCATGTCTTCACGTGGCTCGTGTCTGTCCTTCTTAAGCGGATATACACAACATGGCGTGTAAACAAACTTATGCGTACAAAATTGGTATATACACACTGTGACACTGGCCCAACACTCTCCGATTAATACAACACACGTCAATGACGAGAAAACCAAAAACAGTCTTTCCACTCAGGCATGCTAGCGCAACGTATCTTTCCAAGGTTCTCAAAACCTCTGTCTGCTTGGTGGTCAGTAGAGGTGTGTAGAAAGGGTGTGCGTGTGTACCTGTGCATGTACAGAGTCACTGTGCTGGAGGACAGGGGTGTGTGGATGTGTCTGAATCAATATTGCTTGCTAACTGCTTATCCTGTCCCAACTGGTAATAATACCATAGTGACAATCAATTGCGATGATCAAAACACTCTTATATGTCTATTTGTGAGTACAATCTGTGTACATTTTAAAGGTAACATATTCTAACAATGCTATTAAATTGTTTGTTTTTTTTCACAAGGTTCAAAGAAAGGTCTTAATTTCTCCCTTTTTGGTAGTCCATGTTTTTCCTTTCCATCTGGGAAAACGGCGTTCGTGACTACTTGCCCATCAAAGTCGACAATATTAAATAAAATGATTGATTGCTAAAAGACAACTGACACCACTCTTTATAATACAATTGTAACTGGACACTTAAATAGAGCTTCCATGGAAAAGACATTTTTCTCAAAGAGCATGGCCTGTAGGTGATAACGGACAGGTGAAAGGCGTCACCTGTGACGACATCGTCACGGAGACCAAGCATCACAATAGACACACAGACAATGAAGGAGGGTGTCTGGGGGTGCAATGGGGAATGCACGACTGGCGCCTCTGCCCCAACGAGCATCGCCTCGCAGGGGGTCGGAGGTCGAGCAGGCGTGGTCAGAAAGGCACATGGCCGTCCAATCGGGTGGCTCTCCAGGGGTAGGAAAGAGGCCCCTCCCTCTCTTAGTCTTCCTCAGTTCATTACTGCCTTAGTTGTTATTTCCTTTGTTTGGATACATAAAATGTGTCATTCAAAGTCGAACAATTGATTTGCTGCAGGGAACCAAGTTTAAGGGTAAGATATGGATGAATATTAGTTTATACCCAATAATACCCATTAATTAATACTAATTAATAGTCCCAATAGACATGGCTTTATCCAAATGAGTGGATCCGATTTCAACACCAATCTCAATAACTCACACACACACGTGCAAACTTTGTCTGCACACACACTACACACACACAGATACACATGCACACACATACATTGTATGCACACACAAACACACACGTGTCTAAAAGTGTGGGAATGCATGTATGTGCGTATGTGACCGGTATTGCCTGATTGTGTGTGTGCACTGTATGTATCAGTGTCGTGTTCATTGCACTAAAATGTCTTCAGTTTCCCCTTAAATTAGGGTCCTTCGGAAACCTCCTCTCTCGGCTGTCCCTCCTAATGCCTGCGAGAGGGGCTCCAAGTCCCTTCCAAGTCTACAGTTTCTGTGTAAAAAACATTTCTGTTATCAATATTATTTCTACAGTTTCTGTGTAAATAACATTTCTGTTATTAATATTATTTCTACAGTTTCTGTGTAAATAACATTTCTATCCTATTACATCATATTAACAATATTATTGTTGTTCCCTTTTCTGGAAAAAAAAAATAGCGTCTGTTATTAAGTTTTGTTCTTGTTATTGTTTTTTTCCCCTCCCTTAAGCATAGGGACGTGGATTGAATTGACGGAGTGAAGGCCCCCATCCCCCTCCCACCCTCAGAATCAGGGTCTGGGGGCCAGGGTGGTTCTCATGAGTCATCGAGCGGGGAGGAAGATACCTCCTCTTCCTCAGGGGTACCGTCGGAGTTTGTGTTTCCCACCTCGGCGCCCGTGGACTCTGCTGGTGGTGCAGGGCCCGCCTCATCCTCTGCCTCTTCCTCCATCACTTCTTCCTCTTCCTCCTCTTCAGCGCAGCAGTCCTCAGTCAGGTGGTTCTGGTCCGGTTCCTCTAGGGTGAGCTGGAACTGGAACTTGTCTAGGCAGCCCTCCAGCTGCGGGTCCCCCAGGTCTGGTGGGGGCGAGGGGCTCTGCGGGATGGTGCTCTGGTACCAGTCGCGGTTGTCCTCTAACGTGTCCAGGATGTCCTGTGCGTCGGGGTGCACCAAGTCCCCCCAGGTCTCCCACAAGGGGTGTACAATGTAGTCGATGAATCCCACCTGGACCATCAACAAGCGCACAGGTTAGCAGTGAGCACAGATTTCTTTGAGGGCTTCCGTGAACGTATGAGGGAGTGTGTGAGTGTGCAAGACCATCTCATCATCTGTCATTCATCTGATGATTTCGGCTTAATGATCAACAATGAAATAAAATTGTAGGAGAGTGCCCCCTAACGCAGCTACAGTTGTTTGTGAATATAGTGAGTATGTGTTGTGAATATAGTGAGTATGTGTTGTGAATATAGTGAGTATGTGTTGTGAATATAGTGAGTATGTGTGTGCATGTGTGAGTACCTGGCTCTTCTCCACGGAGGCCGTGTGCTTGTCACACATGGGGCTGATCTCCATGCCTCGCTCCCGCTCCTTGTCGCCCTGCCTAAAGAACTCCTCCATGATGCGCTCGGTCCACTGCCTGTAGACGTCTAGCGGCTTGGTGGGGTTGCTCAAGTCCGCACAGTGCACCATGTTCCTCAGCACCTGCGTGTCACACACGCGCTCAGTGGACAGATACACAAGGTCCTATGTGCGGTCTGTGTATGGAGCAGTCTCATCTACATATGGTCTGTACTGGACAGTCATACATTCTTTGTGATGGACAGTCTCACCTCTGTATGGTCTTTGTAATGGACAGTTTCACCTCCATATGGTCTTTGTAATTGACAGTCTCACCGATATACAGTCTATAATGGACAGTCTCACTTCCATACAGTCTTTCTAATGGACAGGCTCACCACCATACAATTATTGTAATGTACAGTCTGCCTTCTATATGGTCTTTGTAATGGACAGTCTCACCTCTATACAGTCTGTATGCCCAGTGGTCTCACCTGTATGCGGTCTGTATAATGGTCCAACAGCAGCACTCCTGAGCTCGTCACTTTCTTGGTCTCCACCATCGTCTTCAGATCAGCCAGTAGACTCATGTGCTTGGACATGTCTGTCGCCAGCACCTACAGAAGGAGCAGTCATGAAGGAAACAGTGGAGACGATGAGGAAGGACATTCTGACTTCCATTAGACAGTCTATGTGATGGACAGGCTCACCATGTCGATGACCATCTTGCGCAGGCTTTGCCGCTGCCTCTTGGTCAGGTTCTGGAAGATGTCACAGTTCTCCTCGTGCAGCAGTTTGAAGCCCACGGCAAGGTGGTGGTTCTCCAGGACCGACTCGTCGTTGTACATCAGTGCCAGCTCTGAGTCTGTGTTGGCAGATCAGGTGACTCAGTTTGGTGGTCTCCTCAGGGGCCGTGCGATCGGGAAACAACTTTTTGGAGTGTCATGGACAATCACAAGAAAACTACCTACAAATTTTCCTCTTTAAGCGTAGTGTGATATTGCTAGTTAAACCTAGTGTGGCATTGTTGCAGTATGTACACACTAGTTAAAAAATGGGTGTTACTGTTGTTCTGGCACCATGACCCAGTAGGTTAATTATAGACCAGGGGTGGGCAATCTTATCCGCAAAGGGCCGGCGTGTATGCAGGTTTTTGGGATAACCTGTAGGTCAGCTGTTCAAACCCAGGTGTGAGGACACTTCAGCCAATCAGACCTCTAATTAGTAATCTAATTAGGGAGTCGCAGTGAAAACCCGCAAACATGCCGGCCCTTTGCGGATAAGATTGCCCACCCCTATCATAGACCTTACACAGACCTACCGTTACCCTCGGTAACGCCAAGTTACCCCACGGCCACCCAGTTGTCCCTGTCAGTACCCCAGCCACCCCCACATGGCCTTCAGTGTTTCCCCAGCTTCATCCCTCTCCCCCTGTCACCCTGTCACAACTCCCCGCGGTCCTGCTCCCCCTCGAGACTCACTGGTGTTGATAAGAAACTGGTTTGAGACGCCAGGGTGGTCCACGTCGTGGATGGCGGCGGCGAACAGAGCAGCCAGGATCTCCAGATCAGTAAAGACCGCCTGGCAGGGAAGGAGGGAGAGAGAGAGAGAGAGAGAGAGAGAGAGGAGCCTTAGCACCCTTAGCAGTGTCCTCACACAGGACTGGGTCTGTCACTTACTACTGGACAAAAGATTATGATTGGCTGCCTGAAGAGGAGAGATTAGCTACTTCCTGTTAGTTCAGAAAGGGAGTGATGCTAGCAGGATATTAGCATTTGTCAGTATTGCTAACGGCTGAAGGTCAGCACCAGGTCGCGGTCTCAGGATGCCCATTACTGGAGGGAATGCTGGGTCACTCACGTTGAGGGCGGGCGAGGAGAGCAGCACGTGTGTAGATTGCATGACATCAGCGGCGTGCAAGCTGTTGTGATAGGCCACGTTGGCGTGGTAGTGGTCCTCCAGGGTCATGATGTAGTTGATGAATGTGTCCACCGGGATACGGAACGTCTTCAGCAGGTCTCTCTCCTGCACGTGAGCACACGCCCATACGTGTGAAAACACACGGAACACACATGCACACACATGCACACACGGCTTTGGGGTTCGTTCGTCAAGCTTTGGGTTTTGGCCAGATCTGACACTAAGACTCAGTAACTACAACTCCTTGACACTGCAATTGCAAATTGTATATCAATGGACATTTTACACAAGATTGTATTATTAAAATTAATATTAATAATATTAAGACAGAAATCTGCAGGTTAAGATTTAAACAAACCCTTTAATATATGTGCAGTGTACAGCCCTTACACACAAGGACAATATCATTCAAATAAGTGCACACACATTCAGAGCATTGTGCTAACAACACGAAGGTCACGGGTTCGAATCTGGGGGAACACACATAAATCGTAACCCTACCCTCTACTGTAAATTGTTTTGGAATAAAGCATCAGATAGATATAAAAATGAATAAATATCTATATGATTATAATGCAACACACTCTGTCTAGCATGTAAACGTACACCTACACTGACCCCCTACCTGGAAGATGGCGAACATGATGCAACTGAGAGGCCTGTTGCTAGAGAAATCAGCCACACGGAAGATGTTGAGGCCCCATTTATTCAAGTCGTTCAGCTCCTGTGGCAAAAAAGACGCATGGGGATCCAGAATGACTCCGCCCCCACCGCCATACAAGGATACAGAATGACTCCGCCCCCACCGCCATACAAGGATACAGAATGACTCCGCCCCCACCGCCACACAAGGATGACTCCGCCCCCACCACCACTCAAGGATACAGAATGACTGTAGTCCGCGTGTGTATCTGATCATGGCGTTTGCGTCTGTCTGCAGAACCCCGTCCTGCATTTCCACACCTACCCTGGAGAGGGCATCCTCGTGCTCAGTCTTGACCCCGAAGCGGGGCACGATGGGGTTGGCCTGGCTGGAGCTGCGGGTGAGCTTCCTGACGCCGCTGATGTGGCACATGGGCTTGTCCTGCTGTTTCTGCGTGGGTGACGGGATCTCCACCTCATTCTGCTTATCTGGGGGGAGTGAGGGGACAGGGGAGGGGAAAGGTCACACCGGCACGTGCTGGGAGTATGGATGGATGGCTACAGGTAAATGTTTAGACAGGTATGTGCATTGCCCCCCCCCCCCCCAAAATTGTTAGTTAGTAGAGTCAGAAGATGATAACTAGCTATTTATGTAATATTTTATGTAGTGACTATTTGTGGCCAACAGGGGGCTTTAAGCCACTGTGCAGCTTGACTGCTGGTACACACCAGTCCTGGGTATAGGTACATTATAGAGTAAGAAAGGACATACAGCTCAAAAGAAAAGCAGACAGATATGGGTCAATGAGTAATCATATATACCAGTATGTACAGGTACGGGTCCAACAGGTTATGGTGTGACTGAGTACAGGTGGGGTCATACACAGGTGCAGTGACACAGGTATAAATCCAGAGGCACTGACTGGTGGACGGAAAGATGGGAAAGCTCACCCAGGAACGTATTGGAGATGTACTCTGACACTTGGTTCCCAGAACGGCTCATCTCAGACAGGTGGGAGAGCTCCCGGTTCAGCATCCGCTTAAACTGGGGGAGACGGAGAAAAGAGGGGAAGGAATAAAACAAAGAGCATGTAAATGGGGTCCCTGCAACAAGGGGTCCATAGGGGGGTGTGTGTGTGTGTGATTTATTAGGGTGCATGTCTGTCAATCTCCTAAATGGTGTGTGTCAGTTTCAATTTCAATTTTACTTGTATAGCGCATTTTCACAACCTTACATTGTCTCAAAGCACTTTACAGCATCCCCGCCCAAAGCCCCCAGTGAGCGAGCCAGAGGCGACAGTGGCAAGGAAAACCTTGGGAGGGACCAGACTCAAAGGGGGAGCCCATCCTCCAGGGGCCGGCAGAGGAAGTCAAATGAGGAAGGTGGCAAAATCCTAATTTACATTGTCCGAATGTTAAGATTCGAGTCTCGGTGCAGATCGCACTGAGCTGCTGCTGCTTCTGATAGCGGGATGAACAGTGATATGGCAGCGGGGAAAAGTGTGTATCAGTGTGAGAGATTGTGCGTGTGTGTGTGTGTGTGTGTGCTATCACTGCATATACTGTGTTAATATATCGTATATAATTGGTAATGTCACATCACAATCTCCAGACTGTCAGGGTACAGGAAACAATCAGTGGCAGTGAGGATTCGGGTCACCCTGACCAGGCCTGGGCTGTTTTTGAATGGATCAAAATTGCCTGATCCAGATGTGAAGAGCAGGCGGTGGCTGACACGAGCACAGCTGTGAGTCACGTGTCAGAATAAAAGTCCAGACAACAGGGGGACAATCAGAGCCCTGCAGTAATGCGAGGACATTCTTATGCCATTGTGTGCTAAAAGTGCGCCATCTTAACCGTAATTTCATCACTTCTTTTTGGTTTATTGCAATAAACATCTCTTTCTTATTTAATAATAATAAGGCTTTGGTGTGCCAGCTGTTTTTTTGAAGGTTTTATTCTGAGATGTTGCTTTCAGTCATAACATACCCCAGCTGGTAGGTTAGGGTTAACAGTTTGGATGTGACCCTTTCCTGTCTGTGTCAGGTGTGTCCCCGATGTATCCTGCATGGTGATGCACCTTATATGGAGGACACTGTGTTTCTGCTGTCTTGTTCTGTGCCTGTAATATCTGTTCTCATTAAATTGTCTCTTTGCAGGAGCAGTCGTCCCTCCGTGTTCCTGTAATACATCTCATTAGTGACGTGTGTAAATTTGTTAATGCTTCCGGGAGGATATTAGGTCATACTCAAACAATGCACATACATGTACGTACACACACACACACACACACACACACACACACACACCCACACACACACACACAATAGAATTTCGGCGAGACCCCTTGGACAAGTTCTCTGTTCTACTGACCGATCCATCTGCACGGAATAATCTCCATGGTAACAGACAGGTTTCCCTAGCAACCGAATCCTCAAAGTCAGTCTTGAGGCATGCTGGGAGAGGGGCTGGCTGGCTGGATGACAGTCTGAGAGCGGAACCAGCGCTAAGCTGGGTGTCTCTGACCTTTCTCAAGGTCGCGCCTCAACTGCACACCGGCTCTCGGAGCCCTGAGAGGGGCCAGCAGAGAAGGACAGCATCGAAACAGCACAGATAGTGGCGGATTATCATCATCACCAGTAAACGTATCAACGGGCTGCTTAGGTAAAAAAAACAGGTTGCTACATGGCTAATGCTAAATGCTAAAATGTGCCATTAAACTACATGATAAGGGTTAATGTCTTGATGGAATGGAAGTGAAGGAGGTGCATCCGGCTTGTGGTCCTTCTGAACGCCATCACAGCACCATGTCCTCTGGCTGTGATCGGGGTCAGCCTGCCGGCCGCCTACGCAAGACAGCAGGGGTGACCGCACATGTGCTCGAAGTCCCTGGGGATTGGTGGACGGGTCTCGATGTCGCTGCGCTCCCATTGGCCGATTTCATGAGGTGTTGGGTTTTACCCATGGGCCCCGGGCTCAGGATGGATACATCAGTAGCAATTAAAAGTCCCCAGTGTCCTGACTGCTAGTTCACGGACTGTCTCTGAGCACATTCACAAATTCATTTAATTATTTACAGCTATTAAAAGCATCAATCAGATATTCTCCGCTGTCTTTGCTAATTAAGTTCTCTTAAACATTATTCCTAATTGTGACCGGTCTTTAACCTTGACCACAGTGGTTAGTTCACATTCCTCCCTCGTAGCAGCTGAATAAAAGGAATTATTTCACGTTGCAAACTAGATCCTGGTTTATTTTTGTGTATTTTTCTGGGGAGGGGGGGGGGAAGAACAATAGCAGGTAATGTCCTAATTCTGCCTGGATTCTGTTTTCTCAGCTCAAATTTTCTGTACACTGGTTTAAATAAGCACCTTCAGCTAAATATCCCATCCAGGGTGGTACCCCAGTCATGTGTCTCCCACGCAGCCTGGGACGGGTTCCATGCCCCCCGCATGACCCTGACCGAGAGATTAGAAGATGGATGGATGTTACACAAAAGTAATAATAAGAAAAGGCGATGCTGGAATACTAGAGGCGTCTAGCGAGCGCATGCACACAAGAGACGTGTGAAACATGCTAATTTTTTCACAACTGTCCTCTTGTCGAGTATGAGGAGTGCAGGCAGGCCAAACCATCCGTCCTGTGTGTGTGTGTGTGTGTGTGTGTGGGTGGGGGGGGGCGGTAGCTGATGCAGGGAGGGACTTCAGAAGGCTGCGGACACTGGTAATATCTGATGGGCCAATGACATCATCATCTAAGCGGCGAAGAGAGGGCAAGTGGAAACAGCAGTGGACTCTGATAAGCTGAGCAGTCCTTCACAACAAACGGACAAGAGCAGGTACAGTGAAATACTTCCCGGGGCAACTGGTCCGCGTAGCGTGAGGCTGGTTACCCATAATCCCTTGCCCTTTCAGTTCCCACGACGCCATAACTTCCAAAAGCATCCACAGAATTTCGGCATTTTCCGTGGCCCACGGTGGCCCGGCCCAGCAGCCCAATTGGTGACCTTTCAGTGACCTTGACTTCCATTTTTTTGTCTTCTGCTTGTAGACCCCTGCAGACTTCCAAAACTTCTCCCAAGATAACCTTTCAGACTTTGGTTTTCATATTTTCCGATCGAGGATGATGCCGCTGCTGGTCACTATGAACACTGTTCTGAGACGGACTTTCCAGTCGATTAGCCAAATGTGAAACCAACACAGAGCTACTCTTAATGGGCCCTCTGCATCAAATAAACTGCGCTTCTCTGTAACCACGGTAACATACTTACGGTTCTTTCCATTCAATAAGTAATAAATGAGCCATTTTTTGTCTGTAAATTAAAAGAGGTTAACATTATACTGAGCCGCAAGCGAATCCCGCCGAGACAGGAGCTGTAGTTTAATCAATGTATCGTTTAACTGATCCCAAAGAAACATGAAGATCGTCTCCCTTACTAAACACAGAGTAAGAAACCAGGCCGTTTAGAGATCGGTGGAGCTGCTCTGACTTCCCTCAGGTTCCAGCTGAACGCGGATGACCTTTGCATCTCGGGGAATCTCAGAGTCCATTCAACCCAGAGCTGACCCACATTCTCAACACTGCCAGCCTTGTAGAACCTACCTGCCTTCACAGTTGACACAGTGATGCCATTTTGTTGACCACGGGGAGAAACTCGACGGAAACACACAGACCTGCGACAATGACGTGATGTCTCGAGACAAAAAGCATGACACGCTGGTCAACGAGGAGACACTCCAGGACAGAGGAGTGTATGCAGCTCTACACTGAGATCCAAAGTTGTAGCACTGAAACAAAAGCCGTTATGTAAGCAGAGAGCCCCCCTGGGTCAACCGTCTAGGGCAATCATGGGGAGAGGTATCAGTCTGAAGGTGTCTGGGAACATCTCATTTCCTGTCCTTTTGACTGGTGCTACCAGCAGAGAAGGCCTGCTTGCTTATGGCAGAAGGTAACGTTTACCAAGCTTATGATGTAGCAGATCCAGGGCTCCTCAACCTGGCAGATACAGGCATAGCAGATGTTTTAAGTACGTATTACCCTGCCAGGCCCTTTGAACCTGGGGTCCGCACATCACTGCAAACCTCTCTGCCTCGCTCCGTTGACGTTTTAGTGGTGCTGATGTTGCTGTTATTGTATCGCCATGGTTACATAAGTCTGTGGCCTCGATGCAGGTGTGCTTTCGTGTCAAGGCACGCCGAGTCTGCACGTCAGCACGTATATGTGTTTTGGGGGGGGGGGGGGG